CCCACCCAAAAGAAGAGAAACATGACAACACCCACGGGTTGGCATCACACTTTGGCCGCCAGCCCCCCAGCCCCTACTTACATACATTCAGTACATGGTGCACGCACAGAGCGGACACACGAGTGGGAATATGAACACCCAATGAAACGTAACTCGGGTCTAATGTAGACATCAACAGAAAGAAAAAACAGACACGATCCGTACGCCTGAGCCGTGGCTTTTGCCTTGTCCTTTTCGGAAAGAACGGGAGCACGACGGTGGCTGGGAATGAAAGAAGGGGGGGACGCCAGGCTGTGCCGCGCTTTGGGAGCCCAGCGAGGACCCAGGGTGAGGGAACCCATGCACACACCGCTGTGCCAGCCCTGTGCCAAGACCTACGAGTGCTCCGGCTTCACTAAAAAAAACTTCCCAAAGTGCGATTTCGGCACACGTGGCAGAGGAAAAAAGCTGGATCGCTTGCACGAGCATTCGGGGGTCTCTACGCCAGCTCCTTGGTACATCCCATACATCTGTTCCGCACATCCCTGCGAGGGGCAGAGCCTTTAGGGGAGCCCGACGGCAAGCACAGAGAGATGCGCCAGTTTTCTCTCACCAAATCCACACCTGGCAGGCAGCAGCCACCTGAGGCGAAAGCTCACCGAGAGCCTCAGCGCTGGATACTGTTCAGGGCACGTCCCGCAGAGCCAAGGGTCCCAGCTGGGACGATGGGGATGAAGGAGAGCGGTGGCAAACAGCTACATGGGAACTGGCTGTCTCGCAGGGCTGCTCTGCTCAAATCTTAAGAGCAGGAAAAGAAACACAGTGCCCGCTTTTAACGATGGAGAGAGCGGGGGGTTACACAGGGACAGCACCTGCCAGCGAGCTGCTGGGTCACTAGAGAAAGCCCCAACAGAGAAAGTAGAGACAAGTGATGTCCTGGATGAGCTACAAGTACAGCTGGAGGGACATTCACACCAAGGACAGGTGGCAGTTCTCTTTCCCAAAAAAGGGGAAGACCTAGTCCTGCCCTCCTCCGACACTGCGTGTCCTCCAAAGGCAGCGCTGACAGTGCTTGGGAAATGCTCCAGAGCTCCCCAATGCTCTCGTGCTGCAGCGCAGTGCAGCAAGGTGGGCCAAGAGCAAGCTTTAAACTCCACGGTCCTTTTAGCCTCCGTGGGAAGCCAAGGCTGAGCAGTTTCCATTTCGGATCAGCACTGCCCTAAAGGAAGGTTCCTACTGTCCCCTCACGCTGAGAAAGTTGCTCTAAAGCCTTTGCACGTCCTCTCACAGGACCAACCCTCTGTGTCCAGACCTGCTCGCTCCAAAAGGTTCAGCATCAGAGAACCGCACGAGGATTGTCTCAGAAAGCCTGGATGCTTGAGTAAAGACAATGCTCAGAACGAACATGCTGCCAAAGGTCTGGGTTTCCCCACATCCTGTCCCCTCATGCTGAGAAAGTTGCTCTAAAGCCTTTGCACGTCCTCTCACAGGACCAACCCTCTGTGTCCAGACCTGCTCGCTCCAAAAGGTTCAGCATCAGAGAACCGCACGAGGATTGTCTCAGAAAGCCTGGATGCTTGAGTAAAGACAATGCTCAGAACGAACATGCTGCCAAAGGTCTGGGTTTCCCCACATCTCTTGGGACCAAGCACAGCTCTGGCTTGCAGAGTTCATTCACCGAGATACCCCATGAAAGTGGGGCTCAGACGCTCCCTGCACAGAGGCTAAGCAACTTTAGAGACCCCTGAAATGAAGGGAAGGAATAAAGTCTCCATCAGTGATGCTGAAACCATCTTAAACAAGATACTCGATTTCAGTTGGCTGGAACGTCCTGAGGTGGCTAAACCCACCAGCCCATGAACAAGGTGGTACCAGGGCAGCTGGGCCTGGGGCCGAACAGCCCAAGCCCAACCTCCTGGGTTCCTCCCCAGAGCTACGCTCCTCCAGTGCGGCACCGAAGAGCAACAACTGATGCAGAAGGGACGTGGCTCCCTCTGGCCTCTCTACACATGGTATCACGCTTCTGGAGGAAAAAAAACAAACCCCAAAGGCTGAATTCTTAGTATTTTGAATCCTCTTGCTTTTAGCCCAGAGGCAGGTTAGTCTGTAGGTATTGCACTCCTCCCGTCTCCCCTCTGCCAAACTACTGAGCCCCCCGTAGCACAGCAGGACTGGCACAACCAGATGGAGTAAGTCGAGAGAGTTCCCCAGCCTACTGCAGGGAGCAATGCTACTAGCTGGGTGAACGAGCTGTCAAGTAGTGACTGAGAGGGGAGAGTTTCTTGAAAGACTTTTCATAGATTATTTGGTAAATACATGATAAATACATCTAATGGCAGCAGCTTGCAAGGTCCCCAGCCTGTGCTCTTGAGAGAGGCACACCTTACAGCCTTCAGCATCTGGAGGCACAGGGTGGGGACGAAGTCTGGGTTCCATACTTCTAGGTAAGAAAACATCGATTCACGAAGATCCTCACCAAGTTCAGCACGTTGCAGAGGGGAAGAGCTTCCCACCAGCCCAGTTAGCTTCTGGGACTTGAATTAACCCATCCTGAGTGCTGCTGTGAAGACAGATTGGGGGGACTGAGGCCCGAGAGAAAGGTCCCGCTTCCCCACTCCTCTCCAAGGAATCCCAAGGACAGTCTGAAGATTGAAATGAGAATAAAGAGATTTTGACCCTCTTTCTCAAGCAAGGCTCATAAACCACATGAATAAGACCCGACTCCCTCTGGTCTAAAGGATTTCCTTTCTTCTCTCTGGGAGATGAAGATTGCTGGAGTTCAAGACAATGCTATGGTGTGTGTCCTGCTGACAGATGGATGAGCCTAGTCTGAACACTACCCAGCGACACCAAATCCTCTCGCCTAAAGCCTGCAGCCCTCAAAAAGCAAACTATCGCAGACATCCCAAGCAGCGATTTCCAATAGCAGGTGTTACCACAGGCAACATCCCAGTCACCCAGCTTTTTGTCCAACAGAGTCCGTGAACACAACACCGCCTGGCACAATTAGGCAGCAGAGCCAGGCTTCTGCTTCCAGTATGCACGGAGGTGCACGTGCCTCCCTGACTGCCCTGAGGTACGGAGGATACGTGTGAACCCAATGTTCGTGACCCCCGAGCACTGGGCAGTCAGATACACCCATGAGCATGCGAGGTGGCTCCGGTAGGATGCAGTGTCCGGACAAGCCACACCTGGGGTTGGGCAGACCGGGGAACTCATACTCCAGCGCAGCTGGTCCCTGGGAGGTGCACAGTTCTCATCTGTCCCTGCCTGTGTGTCTGGAAACAGGCAGCGGTGCGGCAGCCGGTACGATGAAGCGTGGACTCCAAGCGCAGAGGGAAGGGGTGACGCAGCAGTGCAGCACATGGTGAAGGCAGAACCCATCGCGACGTCCAGAGGAGAGCCGAGGTGACCACGTCACTGTCGCCAGGAATCGTTTGCTTCCCCCCGCACAGTGTTACAGATCAAGAGAAGTCACTAGCAATTTTTGAATCCAAGTGAATTGGCATGGCTACTTTGGACTACTGTAATGTGGGAACAATTCTAGTCAATGGCCTTTAATACATTGCATTTACATAGCACCTTTCATCCCAGGGTTTAAGTGCTTTAACGGAAGTGGGTACTGTAGACCCATTAGCACGGGGGAAACCGAGGCACAGAGTGGTTAAGTGACTTGCCTTAGGTCACTCAGCAAAACCGTGGCAGGGTCTGGACAGCCTTAAACCTCCTGACTCCATCAGTTGGTTAGACCACGCTGCTGCCTCAAATGAAGCCACTCCGGTCCCTGCCCTCCCCAGCAACATGCTCCTACCAATTCTCCAGTGAGGTCTCATACTCCTTTCTAATGCACAAATATATGACAACAACAACAACAACAAAAAAGAAAAAGAAAAAAAAAGAGTGCAGTAAACTAAATGTTTAAAAAAGCACATTTGTGCTGTCTCTGTGCAAAGATAAAAGAAATAAATACATGATTAAAAAATTAAAAAGGTTCACAGTATCACACATGGATAGGTAGCTACGGTAGTGCACGTCTGGAAAACACTGTGTTACTACCCAGGATTCTCTACACCCAGCTGGATGTCTCCGTTGGGAGCTGCGGGTGAGTGGGTGGTTTCTTTGCTGCCCACGTCTGGTGTAAGTAGAAATACATGGTTATAGTTTTGCTCCGTTCTGAAACGCAGTGCCCGGGATCCTGCAGTGCAGCAATACTGGTGTCAGCAAGCTCTTCCCCATCCCACTGGAACGGCTGCATCAACGAAAAGGGAACACATCGACCTGCAGAGGGAATCGCTGCTCTCTGGGGCTTCTGTGTCTGCATAGAGATTACTGCAAGAGGCAGAGAAAAGAGAGTCAACACCAAGCACCCGCCCTGCGTTGTTAGGTCTGAGCCCAGCCAACTCCCCAGAATCAACACCAGTGTGAAGAGAGAAGGCTGTTTGTTTTGCATCCTCCAGTAATGCCACCGTGACTGGAGAATGTTGGCTCTCCAAAGCTTTCACTACACCAAACAATTTGGAACAAGCCACAGCAAGGGCTGAGCAGACCGGGTCTCTGCCAGCACAGGAGATCTCATCTGCTGCCACAGAGCCGATCTGAGATGCAGCAGGGCTCTGCCACAGCCATGCAAGAGCCCCATGCTGTGCAGAGGCCACAGCGGCTCCCTCTGCAAGCTGACCTTGCAGAGGGAGCACAAGCTCCGACCTTGACCCACCAGGCACCCGGCACACGTTTCTTGTACACTTACTGTATCGCTCTCCTCATCGGAGACAGAGTGGAGTTGAGCGCTATAGTGGAGCGGGGAGTAAACCCAACTCCTCTCGTCTGTCGGCTGCCAGAGTGGCCAGAGACGGCGGGGAGAATGCAAGGAGAGCAGCAGCAGAGCAGGGAGCAAAGGAGAGAAGAGGAAAAAATAAAAGGAGAAAATAAAAAGAGTAGGAAACAATACAGTAAGAACAGCTATCCACCTGGAGGGAGAGAACTGAGCTCAGTGCCAGCTCTCAGCAGAGCCTTCCTCATCCTCAGCACATACCTGCTCCCTACCCGCCGGGACATGGGACAGCCTGCCAGCAGCTGATACTGGACCCTGCTCCAGCTGCAGTAGAGATGGCACAACCTCTCCTCTTGCAGGGACAGATTTTTAGAGCTTTTGAGGTGCCAAGGAAACCTCAGCTCCCTGACATAGCATCACCCCGGCTCCAGAGAAACCGAGAGACATGGGAAGTGACTTACCTAAGGGCAGTGACAGAGCTCTCCATTCC